TGTTCTGGCTATTACAAATAATGCTGCTATGAACATAGGTGAGCAAGTGTCCTTGTAGTATGATTAATTATCCCTTGTGTATATGCCCAAGAGTGGTACATGAATTGACTTTTTGGAGCACATTCCCTATAGTGGGATGCCTTACTCGGCCTTGATGCAGAGGGGAGGGGTTGGTCCTGCCTCAACTGAATGTACCAGGCTTTGTAGACTCCCTATGGGAGGCCTTACCCTTTTGGAGGAGTGGATGGGGTGGGCTAGGGGGAATTGGGGGGGAACAGGAGGAGGGATGGGAGGGGGAATTATGACTGCTATGTAAAATTAATTTTAAAAAATTAAAAAAGAAAGAAATAATAAAAAAGTGAGTATCAATCATGGCCAGAATCCCACTCTTTAGATTCAAGCATTCACATGAAAATATTTAGCTATATTGGGCATTTACTTTATAGAAGTGTTCTCATTTATTGTTTAAAATAAGTATACCAAGGCTGAAGAGATGGCTCAGAAGTTGAGAGCATGTACTGCTCTTGCAAAGAACCAAAGTTCGAATTCCAGTACTCAGTTTGCCTAGCTCACAACCATCTGTAACTCCAGTTTCAGGGGGTGATGCATAGTTAATAAAAACTCAGAGAGAGAAATTGGGGTTCAATCTGAATGTCTGAAAAGCAAAACAACCAGCCACTGACTCTTACCTCGATCTCAGTCCGAAATGGTGATCCTCCCTCCAGGAATCTCAGAATGAGACTGTGTTTGAGAGCTGTCCCCTCTCATTTTATGATCCTTTCTAGAACTGGGATTAAAGGTGTACACTGCTTGGTTTCTATGGCAACTAGTGTGGCTACTGGGATTAAAGGTGTGTGTTACCACTGCCTGGTCTGTAAGGCTGACCAGTGGGGCTGTTTTACTCTCTGATCTTCAGGCAAGCTTTATTTATTAAAATACAAATGGAATATCACTACACAAGGGACATGATACCTTTGGTCTCCGAGGGCATCTGCATTCACATGCACACACATACACACAACTATAAACAAAACTCCCTAAAATGAGCCTATTATTTTCCCTGTGTAGAAGATGGAAATTTGGGGTTTAAGGCGTATGAAGTTACTGTCTCCAGTTAATACAGAATTTTAAAGGAGTCAAAGTATAAAGCATGGACCCCAACTTTTTGAAAAGTGTCCCGTGAAGAGCCATGAGGTTTGATTGTATGTGCACAGACCACTGATTACCTTCTTTAAAAATTAGTTCAAGTAACATCTCCTTATGTTATAGGCCACCTCACTTTGCCACAGAAATACCCTGAAACCCTGCTCCTGCGGAGGTGAATTGGAGACCTAATGTCTTGTCTCCAGGTGAAACTAAATTGTGAATAAATTTTACTCAATGCTTTGGTAACCAATCTGCATGAGGGTGGGGGCTTGACTCAGTAACATTTGATTTTTCAAGTGATTACTTCAGGGAGTAGTTTGTTTTGAGTTAGGTAGGTTTGTTTTCAGATGATCAGTGTTTTATAAGAAATGTGTACAGTGATATCTCATCAATTTTTAAAAGCCAGTTGTGGACAACAGATGTCACTCAATCGCTTAACAGAAAATATGCATATACACTGGCCAATTTTGTAATGCTTTTATTTGCAAAAACTTAGTCATGAGATAAAGGTAGCCTTGCTCTAGAATCAAACTTGTCTTTATATTTCTAAATATGTTTCTCTGGAAAGTTTTTGCCCTGTTTTGAGACAAACCTATGTGGAAGTGACTGTGTTACCCAGACTGGCCTCCCGCAGTCCTTCCTGCCTTAGCCTCCTAGATGCCAAAATTAGAGGCATGTACCTAAACACTTGGCTTGGAAATGTTCAGGCCTAGTGAGATTGTTCAGCGAGTAAATGTGCCTGATTCCAAGCCCATCAATCTGAGTTTGATCCCTAGAACCCATATCACGAAGGAGAGAAATGACTCTCCTCCTTTGTCTCCTGACTTCCACATGCCCACAGCACCATCGGACACAGGCACCCACACATACAAAAATAAATACATGTAAAAACTAAAGCTTAACAAATAATGTTTCACCATTGGCATATAACAAATCTCACATTCATCTTCCAGAGAAGGAAGATGCTCCAGTTAGCTGTCAATAACTTGATAGCCTTTAAATTAAATAAGATGGATCTTCCTGCCTCATGATGTAGGGATTACAGAATGAAGCTATGGTTCCCAGTTTTTAGCAATGTACCAGAAACCCTCCCACCGTGATTTAAAATTTGAAGACAAAATGTGTTTAGGGAAAGAAGATAGATCATAGATCCTCAAAGTGTCCCTGTTTCAGTATGACCTGGTATCTTGTTAGGAAAACATACCATAGGTCCCATTCTTCACCTGCTCAAATCAGAAGCTGGTGATAGGGCCTACAGTAGATTTCAGTAGTTTCTAGAGGAGACAGAGACATTGGGAAAGGAATAGTGAGATGGCTTGGGGTTGTGGTTCTTGCCACCAAGCCTGACAGCCTGAATGGTGAAGGGAAGAGCTAATTCCCCAAGTCCCCTGTAGTAATCCTCCCCAAACAGTTCCACCAACTGAGAACCAAATATTCCAATATTTGAATCTATGGGATTGTTTCTCATTCTAGGACTTAAGGCTCTAATTTAAGGGTTACAAGACTGAAACAAAACAGTCTGCAAGTTGGGGAGGATCCATGAAATGTCCATAGAAGCCCCTTTCAATGAGGTAATAGTCAATTCTATAAGAAGTTATATTTGGAAAATATCTACTAATATCTCTACTACTTGACAGTGTGACCTTTGAGAAGCCTGTTACCCTTTATGAATCTGGATAGATACCTTATATGAAAAGGATAATAGGCTTCTGGTTAGAGTATTATCTAAAATATATGTATAGGATTAAACCCATTAGAAACTACTAGCTGGGTGCAGGGCTTTGGTGGATAATGGCTAGAAAGATGATCTTGTACATAGTGAGGAGATCAGAAAAGGGCCAGAGTTTGGGAGCCAGGCTCCTTGACTTCTAACTTCCGATGAAGAGAGAAGTAATACACTTAAGTAACATTGCATGGGTTTTGATATGTCATAGGGAAACGAATAAGATGATGCCACATGTAAGTGCTATACAGCTCACAATATATTCATAAATCATGTAACCAGGTGGTGGTGGCCAATGCCTTTCATTCCAGCACTCAGGAAGCAGAGGCAGGTGGATCTCTGAGTTTGAGGCCAGCCCGGTCTACAGATCTTGTTCCAGGAGTGCCAGGGATACAGAGAAAGCCTGTCTCGAAAAACCCAAACCAAACCAAAACATCTTAAATAAGTTTTATCTCCCCTTATGGTTTTATCTTTGCACGGAAAAGATTTTTTAAGACAACAGAAGTTTGTAATCCAAAGCAAGGTGCAATAATTCCACCTGTTCGGCTAGTGCTCTGGTGCCAGGGGGACCAGTACAATCAGCCCAAAAGAATAAATCTCAAGAAGACCCCATCCATAAGTTATAGTACCCCTATTATTATAAACCTATTCCTCCAATCCTAAGTTCTGCTCGACTCTTTTCAAGAAATCTTCACACTTCTAATACTCCCACGTGTGTTTCTAGCCTCTCAGTTTCTACTACTTCACTCCTAGACCTGCATGTTTCTTCCACAGTCAAGTGCAGAAACAGGAGGGAGGAAAGGGATGAACACAAAGCCTTACTTTAATAAAGGCTGTCCTGGACACATCAAAGTTTCCTTTGGATTTAATGCAAGTGATGCCCCCCCCCACAATATTAAAATTTAAACTCTGAAATATTGTTGCTATCTTCCTGTTTCCTTGTTTACTAGTAAGAGTGGGAATGCTTTTATAACTGGCACAGTACACGGTGTTGCAAATTCTATGTCAAAGGCTATGGGAGCACTGAGGGAATAATTCATGTTGCCTCTTTATAGAGTACAGTGAACTTCAAGCACTGCATCCCAGGAGGTGCATACTGAAGGTGTGGAAATTCAGGCATATTCAGTAAGAATATTATGTCTTCCAGGACGGAGTATGGAATGAACAGCAGCAAAACAACAAAAAACCAAACCATACCACCACTCCAGAAAACGTCACCAGACCCAAGTTATTATTATTTTTTTTTTTTTTTGAGACAGGGTTTCTCTGTGGCTTTGGAGCCTGTCCTGGAACTAGCTCTGTAGACCAGGCTGGTCTCGAACTCACAGAGATCCACCTGTCTCTGCCTCCCAAGTGCTGGGATTAAAGGCGTGCGCCACCATCGCCCGGCTTAGACCCAAGTTTTTAAGCTTGTTAAAACAACCAAAAAATAGTGACGCATGGAGGCACAGCCAAGAGAATCTGATCATCATGTATTAACCCGTCTCCCGGTGGTGTGGAAGGTTAATTTCACAGCCACTCCCTCTCCCCTTTACCCCCCTCTTCTCCCCCCCCCCCCCCCATAGTCCTTAGCCTAAAGAGGTAAGGAGCTTCTCCTGTGGAGACAACTTGGGAGGCGACACCAGAAGCATTTCAGTGGCATTAGAGAGGCAAGGGCAGACTGAAAGGTTTTCTCTGGCTCAGCCTGGAAAATGGCACAGTGGGTGTTTTGTTCCCCCAAGCTTTCCTACTTTAGACCTTAGTTGGTGTCTCCATTAAATGGTCTGTTTTTTCTTTTTCGTCTCCATGTTCCTTGAGCCATCCAGAAGCACACAAACAGGTCGTAAAGTTGCTTAGTCCATGGAAAACAGGAATTCATTAACTACAGGCCATTGCACATGTATTAACATTAAAGGTTAGGTTATAACTTAAGCCACGATTTAAAGTCTTCATCAACCTGCTGAATTACCCACACTACCTTGTATTAACTTCAGAAAAACACCCATACCCTTTAACTGAGTTATCAGGCCAGAAGGCACTAGTCAAGATCCAGACTATGAGAATTACAGGTTTTCCAAAGCTTAAATCCAATTGTCCCCGGCGTCCCGGAACCAAAACTCAGAGGCCTCGACTTCCGGGGAGTGGGGGACCGGAGTGTGTTAGGACGACACGATTAAGTTCGGACTTGCGGAGGCCTACCGGGCGAGGACTCCACGCCCAAAGCCAGTGCTCAGTCTACAACTTCGCTTGAGAGGCGGGCGAGGCCGCTGGACTCCAGGGATCGCTCTGGGGCCGCTCCAAAGGAGCGAAGCCGGCCGCAGCTTCTGCCATGGTTGGGCCCGCCGTGCTGCGCGCTCTGCGCAAGAACAAGACCCTTCGCTACGGAGTCCCCATGTTGGTGAGTGGCTGCGGCCCGAGCAGGGCGGGGCTTGGGCGGGGCTTCCTAGAGGGGCGGGGCCACCTTCGCTGACTGGTGCCCTTGTGCTGCAGCCTGTGCTAGGAAGGGGCTGCTAGAGATGTGGGCTGTTAGATTTTTCCTGGTTCACACTCAGAAGGGTTCTCTCTTTCCCTTCATGAACATGCGTGTTGTCACTGTCCCCGTTTCCTGGGGTTGAAGGTTGAGGTTGGCAGAAAACCGATCAGAGCACCAGTAATTATGTTCAAATTTTTGTTTGATCGTCGACAAGTTAATTTGCTTTAATATCCGCCCATATCATAGTAAAGCTTTTAAATATACTTTTATTACTTTGGTGCGGCAATTGGCACAGGTGAATCTCCAGCTTTTGTATTTAAGCAGTGCTGAAAGAGAGAGGCTGACTTCAGAAATGTAATAGGATTTTTAGTCATCTTTGATGTATGTGGATTTTGTTTTCATCTTTAGGAAACTATGCATTCTGCTTTAAGAGTTTCAGGATAAGCATTAGCTCTTAGAGAAACGACAACAATTCGTGTAGATAAGGCATGGGTAAATTTGTTTTCTGCAATTCCTCTGCGGTTCGGAAACACAGATTTTAGTCGCTGACTTGGAATCACCCGTCTGTCACTATGGGAACCAATTTGATTTTCTTCCCTTTCAAAATAAGAAGTCAAGAACTTAGTGAAAGACAAAAAGAAAGCAGAAAATCAAACAACCCCTAAAGGCAAGGCTGTCTGCGTAGACTTGGTTTCCTGCTCTATTTTCAGAGTTGATCAGCAAGAAGGAAACTCCTTCACAGTCGGTTTTTAAGTGGTCACATCAAGTGTTATGAAGACGTACTCTGGACCTGTCTGGATAAAACTTCTAAACCTAATTCGCTTTCCAGTCAGATGTTCTTCCACTGGGTAAACAAAGAGCACTTTCAGTGCCCACCCAATCTGAGAAACCCTCCTTTGAGGTCTGAGGCTTTCTTTTTCTGTTTTATCATACCATAATCAATCAGGTGTATACCACAATCGGGTGTGCACTGGCAAATTAAACCTCCAGCATGTAACAAAAGCAACATCTGCGGATGATGTATTCATTTTGATCTTTTACCCCACAGAAGTTTAACCAGTTATTCCTTTCTGTTTGTTGCGCGCGCGCGCGCACACACACACACACACACACACACTCACTCACTTCTAGAGTGTTTATGTGAAATAGCATTGTTTTTATTTAAAAATTATATATATTGAGAATTTCATAGATGAGTACTGTATTTACATTATTTCCACCCCTACCTGTCCCCCTCCAACTTCTGCAATCCTCTTCTCCCTCACAAATTCATGGCGTCTTTAATTATTGTTGTTACATGTTGATATGTATGTATAACACAATTGCATGTTATATGTATGTATAAAGATAGCCTGATATAGTATTGGTCTTGTGTAATCCAAAGTAGTATTCTTTTTTAAAGTAGCTAAGAATATTTTATATGTATAATTGTTAAATATAAGCTTCTTATTGTGGCTGCTACTTATCTAAAAATCATGGGGGTGAAGATAAAGAGCCCTAAAACCTGAGAAGTGGCTCTCTAGACCGCAAGAGAGGCAACAGCAGGCGAGAGCATGCTTGGAGAGAAGAAAGCATCAAGTTAAGGCAGATCCTCTAGCTGAGCCCCTGATCTAGTGAACACAGAGACTCCATGTCAACTGCTAGGTTTTGTTTTGTTTTGCTTTTTATTCCCCCTCCCCCATCTTTGAACACACATCATAGATGCTCTCCCCATTTGTTGTCCTTCTTGGTTCTGAATTGGTCGTTTATTTTTTTCTTTTTTTGTGAGAAGTTTCAAAGTTACAACTGTCAAGTTTTGTTACTTTTATGAACCTCAGATTTTAAATTTATATCTCATAGTTTTATGCTCTTTATATTTTAATTATTTAATCAGTGATATAGGGATCAACCTTTTTCCCCTAATGGCTAAGCTTTTGCTTCTCTGGCCTGAGAATTACAGCCAGTTCAATTTCTGGTAAAATAGCAGTGGCAGTGTGAAATCTCTTTTAAGAGTTTCTGCATACTGAGAAATGTGGCCTACACTCCAAGACTCCTTTATCACGTGATAAGAAAAAGGGCAATGCCTTCCAAATGCTCAACTTTTCAAAAATCATAAAACTGAAAGAAATTCTCCACAGACAAGGCCAGCATTTTATTCCTAGGTTTACCCTATGTAGTGATAGTATTAAAAGAAAAACCTGACAGGTGGGAAGTGTGGCTCCCGATCGAGAGCCCTTGCTGCTCTTTCAGAGGGCCAGTGCTCCCCAGAACCTCTCTCAGGCTGCTCGTGACTGCCCGAAGCTCCAACTCTAGGATATTTGATGCTCTCTTCTGCCCTCCACAGGCACCTACATGCACCTGCACATTCACAGACATGTGCACATACACATGCATACATACGCAAATGAGAAAATAAATCTTAAAAATAAAAAGCTGTAAGCAAACAAATGTTACCGATTTTGTGTGAGCAAAGAAGGCTCATGAATCGAGCCACACTCAGAACCTGAAGAAGTCCTGCGTCAATGACAGTGAATATTTATAAACAAAGACACTACAAAAATAACTTAATTGGTTAGAGTTAGACATTTGCAGGTTTTTTTTTTAACTTGTTCTTATCAGTTAGTTGACCAATCAAGTTTTCTGTTTGTTTGCCTTCTAAGGTTACATAAACTCTCTACAGAAATTTAGGTATGTAGACAGCTTCACTCTAAACCTTATACTTAAGAGTAGCCTATCATTTAGTTGGGTGTACTTTTATTTCCTCTTGAAATTGGAAATAGGAGGATCAGAAGTTCAAGGTGACCCTCAGGTACATAGCAAGTTCAAGGCCATCTTGGTGAATGAGATGCTGTGTCTTAGTTGGTGTTCTATTGCTGTGAAGAGATACCATAACCACAGCAAACATTTAATTGGGGCTTGCTTACTGTTTCAGAAGTTTAGTCCATTGTCATCATGGCAAAGAACACAGTAGCATGCAGGCAGACATGCTGCTGGAGAAATAGCATCTGGATTTACACCTGGATCTGCAGGTAGCAGAGAGAGAGAGACACCAGGCTTTGCCTTCTGACACCTCAAAGATCACCCCTAGTGACATACTTCCTCCTTCAAGGCCACACCTCCTAATCTTTCTAGGAAGTGCCACTCCCTGATGGCCAACATTTAAATATATGAGCCTATGGGTGCCATTCTTATTCAGAGTACCACACCCTGTCTCAAAAAAAAAAAAACCCAGCAAACCAGAAAGTCAAAAACATATATAGGGTTGATGTATAGCCTTCAGTAAAAATCTACTATAAATTTTCCAGCATGGCATAGTAGCCTCCATAACTGAGTTTTCACTTTTTGTATCTCAGTTGTTATAAAGAAAAGAAAATAAATCACATGGAAAGTTCCAGGTATGAATAATTCATAAGCTTTACATGGCATTTATTACAATATATCATCACTGTTGTACTTCATTATTGGTTATTGTTGCTAATCTTATTGTATCTGTTTTGAAAATTAAACTTTGATAAAAGGTATGTATACATAAAAACATAATGTATTTAGGGTTTAGTATTTGTCCAGGTTTCTGTAGTGGTATATTATTTGTGTTTTAATAAATAAAGCTTGCCTGACAAGATCAGAGAGTAAAGCAACCATACTAGTCAGCCATACAGACCAGGGAATGGTGTTACACACCTTTAATCCCAGGAGACAAAGGCAGATGGATCTCTGTAAATTCAAGGCCACCCTGGGCTATACAAGATTGAATCCGTCTAAAAGAGAAGCAGAGGTCACACAAAGGTGATCCCAGCACTTGGGATCATATACCTTTAATCCCAGTACTAGGGAGTTGGAGACAGGAGTGATATGGCTGGGCGGAGAGAGGAATACAAAGAGGAAGAGAAGTAACTCAGTGTAGTATGGAGTTTGAGGATTCATGGAGACAGGCTCTCTCTCGCCCCTTCTGTCTGAAGATTTGACAGAGGTCAAAGGGCTTTCTAGTGGTTGGCTGCTTTGCTTTGCTTATTTCAGGTTGAACCCCAATTTCTGTCTCTGGGTTTTTATTATTTATGCTACAGGTTTCAGGGGTCCCTGGAATGCCTTTGAGGACAACCCCACCACATCTACTTTTAAATGATAGTAATAATTTTAGATAGTTTTTTATATTCTGTCTTAGGCTCTGTTAACTGAATGAGCTCGGCCGAGGCTGCCCTTCTATTTCATACAGCTGTTCCTTTCTTTTGTTTCAGTTGCTGGTTGTTGGAGGTTCCTTCGGGCTGCGTGAATTTTCACAGATTCGATATGATGCCGTGAAGATTAAGGTAAGAACTGTGATTGGTGTTTGACTTGTGTCCGAGTGTATGGTTTTTGGTTAGGAGAATTCTATGCTCACTTCATTTAGCAATATTAATCTGTCTTGAAAAACCTAATAGATGATCTTTGAGCCTTGTTTAAAATATCACTAATGAGGCCATGAAAGCGAACCATATATAGCATTTGGTGGCAGTTCTTTGTATTCACTAGGGAATTTGTAATATCATTGTTTCTTCCCCAAAATATTCTCAGATGTAGTTGCTTTTAGGATTTATAGGGAGTAAAGAACATGAACAAACAATCTTACTTCATTTTATTTTTCTAAATTATAAATTCAGTATTTTATTTTAATGCCAGTAATGTATACTATCTTGCATACAGTCAGTTGACCATTCCAGAACAAAACTAGGATTCTTGTCCTCTGTAATTAGACATTCACTGTCAAATTTATGCCACATAGTTACATGAGAACTCTGGTTCATTCATGGAGAAATATGTTGTAATTTGGGGAGAGAGAGCGTATACTTGATATGTGAAGGTTTTTCTGAGTGATATATAATGTATCATCACATGCCAATACAGACATTGTTCACTTTGGTAATGGACCCTCATTGCTACATCACACCAAGTAATATGACTAAGTGTGTATTTTAAGTAAGGCACTTGTGAATAGGACAGTTTGCCTATCCATTGTGCTTTGTTATAAGATACTACTATGTTAATATTTAATGTAAATATTGTGGCCCTATTTTTAAGATCAGACAATGAAAATAAGGATAACTGTAATAGCAGTGTTATATGATCCAGACATCACTGGAAAAGAAAGCTAAATAATTCTGTTACTATAATGACAGATGAAAAGGACACCAACAGCTGGATTAGGGAGTTAAATAGCCAAAATAGCCTACTGCACCATATGCCAAAAGAAATTGCAGTTGGGTGGTCTAAAGAGATGGCTCAGCAGTAAGGAGCACTGCTTGCTCTTCCACAGGTCCCGAGTTCAATTTCCAACAACCACAGGGTGGCTCACAACTATCTGTAATGAGATCTGGTCCCCTTTGAGGAAGAGACCTGGTCAGTTGTCCTCATCGACTTAGACCATGAAACCCAATATGGACAAGTTCAACCAAACCACCATATACATGCTTCAGCATTGCCAGGGCATAAATTTTATTTCATTCATGTTGGATACAGGGATTGGAACACATAAGAAGACTGGATCTCACATATCCAGTACAAGACAGACAAGTACTTACAAATCAATCTTAAATCGGTTCATCTTAAAATGCCAATTCTTAACCTCATATAGTAATTGTTGCATTAACTTGTGCATACCGCACTAATTTATTATACTTTGACTGATCTACTTTTTAAAATTACATTTTTCTGATTAGGAAAGGTAGAACTAAATATAGCTTAGTGGTGAACAAAAGTTGATCTTGTTCAGTCTTATCATGGGCCATCCTTTCTATTCTATTATACACAGCGGTAGCTTGAGCTAGGGGTGGGACTCATCGGTAGAGCGCACTTGCTTAACACACAGAAAGTCCTGGGTTTGACCTGCAGCCCAGTGTGTGTGTGTGTGTGTGTGTGTGTGTGTGTGTGTGTGTGTGACAGAGAGACATTGAATCATGGAAGCAAGAAATGTTTTCCTTAACTCTTAGGCAGTCTAACGTAGGGGGGAAATGGAGTTTCAAATTGTCATTTTATTCTTTGAAGATTTTAAGCAAAAGAAAAGGGAAGCATAAAACAAATAGGTTGATGTTTTATAAAAATGCCCCCGCCCCCAGTTTTCTTTCTGCTTTCTACCTGGGACTTTAAAGTCCATAGAGTGTACTATTAAACTAGGCCTAAGTTCAAGGGCTGCAAGAGCTACAGAATGCATGTTCCTGTTAAACTATGGCTAGCTGCAGGTGGCTGTTGAGAGTTGTTGCGTGATCTGTTAAGTTATGTGTAAGTGCACGGGCTTTAAGAGCCTAACTCTTTTTGTATATATGCCCATCGCTGGATTCTGATGTCTTATCTTCTCATCACTAAATCTGTGTTTTGTTACATTCGGTTTCTTACTAAACCCATCCTTTGACTTTGTGATTTGGTACATATTTTTCACTTCTCAGCTGTTCATTTAATTCCTTATTATATATTTCAATACTCTAGAGAAATTTTCCATAATGTTACATTTTATCCCTTTTTTCTGAACTCTTTGTGAATTATAATTACTCAAAAGGCCCATCTTTTATAAGGATATAATTATTTAATTTTTGTTCATTTTTGACCATATGATTATGACTTTGAATATGCCTTATAATTATTTTCAGTTAAATATTGATTATTGTTTATAAGTAGCTGTAGATGTTCTAGGTGGTATTGCTTTCCTTCAGAAACAATTTATCTTTTTTTTTTTTTTTCCTAAGTGGTAGAGCGGAATCTGGTCCCCTTAACACTTGGGTGTGAGCCGGGTCCTGCCTGGCTTGTTTAAAGTTGGAGTCAGCCCTTGTGCATCCCTTCCTCGCGCTTGTTCTTAAGACCTGACCCTACATGACTTTCAGTTAGGATCCAGGAAGCTCACCTCTACTTTCCAGAGATTTTCAGCTTAGCTATATACCTGTCTTATGGAGTTTAGAATGTAGTAATTTCTTTGAAGGCGCTAGATCTCTGTCATGTGTCATTTGCTTTCTGTGTTTGTTACTATAGCCCTGTGTGATGATTTCTCTAGCCCCCAGTAGCTGCATCTACCTGCCTTCCAGCTGTGGTTCCTCTTATTTTTAAATTAACATATAAACTGCACAGAGTGATAAGCCTCATCGTGGCATTTCCATACATGTATGTAATGTGCTTTGAGAATATTGGCTCCCCTAGGACCCTTCCTTATCCCCCTTCTCCTCTCCCCTTTTCCAATACACCTTTCCAATAATCCTTGTACTTTCTGTCCTTATTTTTTTCCAAAGTTTTCATATCTGAGAGCACCATGTGATACCTGGCTGTCACACTAACCCTTGGTTATGATTCTGTACTTGTTCCTGGCTTGGCAAGTATAGCCAAGGGGAAAATGGGTTTCAGCTCCAATTCTCAGCTCTTAGAAAACCCTCTTATTATAGTGGCATTTTTTCTGTTGCGCCTTAAACTGAAGACTTAATTGAGTTTTTATTTGATTTTATTTGATTTTTTTCTTGTTTCACAAATTATTTTGACATCATTGGATCCCTTTTTACTCTTACTTTGTACAGGAAATAGAAGCACAAGAAAGTAGCTTATGGAAATGTACAATGGGATAATGTTTACTGATAAGGCAAAAATGGCGTGTGACCAGTAGTGCTGATGTAATTCTGGATTCTCAGGCATGCCTGTGTTGGGGCTTTTGGATCTGCTTGTCCTAACATACCTTGTTTGGATCTGTGTCATTTGTCTCCATCTATGTATCATGGAGTCCTGGGATTGTCCCCCAGCTCAGCACTTTGCTCACAGGCTGCTCTGAGTCATGCAAACGCAGCTGGTCCATTTCCTTGTTTGTTTCACTGTCACACTCTTCTCGGTGACGTGCAGGTAGCAGGTATGCGCTTCAGTGGACTCTGTGGAACCCTAAATATTCTATTGCTTGCTCTTTGTTTGATCCGTGGAAGGGGTTCTTTCATTTTTTAAGTGTGTTATATAGTAACCCTTTAAATATTTCTGTGCTACAAAATCTGCATGGCTGGTGACTAAAGCTGCTCTGGAGGCAGAAGGCCAGTGCTCAGCACTGCACATGCATCTTTCACAAATTACTCAAGCGTCTGCCAGGGTTCCTGACATGTAATAATGAGGATGAAGGTCACGCTTATCTCACAGGTCTTGTGAGCATTAAACAAGATGGTGTGTCAGGTGTCTAGTACCGATGCTCAGTGTGCATTGGTGGCTATTAGTGGCGGTGTGTCCTAATTACCACAGAGGAGAGGAGAGATTTCCACATACGGTTTCAATGGACTGAACTGTCCCAGCCAGCTTTCCTATGACTTTGTTTGAGACAAGGTCTCACTGTGTCCCTGGCTGGCTCAGGACTCACTATGTAGACCAGGCTGGCCTCAAACTCACAGAAGTCTTCCTGTTTCTGCCTCCTCAGTGCTAGGATTAAAGGCATGCGCCACCAGGCTTCAGCTCACCTGTGACTTTTAAAAGTAAAAAATGAAAACAAAATAAAGTGAAAAATGAATGTGAAAGAATTTAGTAACATATGGTTTTTTTCCCCTTTTCAACAGGTTGATCCCGAATTGGAAAAAAAATTGAAAGGAAATAAAATAACTTTAGAGTCAGAATATGAGGTATGGTATGTTAGTATTCTATGTTTGTAACAATCTAACTAGTCATCACTGGTTCTATTTCTTAAGATAAATCAGTAGTGAAGAAAGAATAAATTTAATCTGACTGTGTGACATTTGGTAAATTACCTAAGATCCCTAACCGGAAGTGCTGGAGATTATAGCTTTTCAGGTAAACGTCACCATGGAGCACTACAAATCTGAGCTGCTCCAAACCTGGAAGCTCTTTGTTGCTTGGTTTGTTCTGTAAAGGGGAATCTGGGGACAAGCCCTGTTGTTTCCTGGGCCTGGTAACTTGGTAACACCTGTGCCAGGGCATTGTTCAGGCTTGGTTTTAAATTTGGCATGGTGAGCTTCAAGTAAGCTTAACTTTGGGCAACAGTGGCCTTTCAGTGTCTTAGCTGGGTGTCAGGAGCATTGAGTACTGACGAGAGGTCTGCACCCTGGTGGGTGGGGTGTGGAGCCCCTATCCACCCCACCCCCCGCCCTGGCTTCCCGACGCTTTCCTCACTATGTCTTAGGCTCCTCATTCAGTCCTGTGGCAGCTGGGTGTTAGGGGGAGGCTTGGGTCATGCCTAGCACACGCGCACAGCCTGGTGTTCAGCCAATTGCATGGTTTACAGATTGTCTACCAGGAGTTCTTCTTGTATATGACCTCTAAAGACAGCATGTTCTCATGACTCTGTCCTGCCAACCTTGACTCACAGCTTAAGAATTATTTCAAATTCCTGTGAGCACATGTATGTTGATGTATCTGGAGAGTGGCTTGCTCTAGTAACACCTTCTGCCAGGACGGGTGGCCCATGTTTGTTATTCCAGTGCTTGGGGAGACTGCGGCACTAGGATTGCTGCTAGTTTAAAAGCCAACTTAGGCTACATAGTGAGTTCAAGGCTGGGCTATATAGACGATATCTCAAAAAAAAAAAAAAGAAAACAGAAATAACTACACAAAAGACCTTTTACTACCTTGAGAATCTAAATGACCTAAAGTTTAGATAGTTTCATAACCATACTTGAAAATACTTATTTGCTAAATTAATAGCATTTTGTACATCCACATATATGTGATCCTGACTTTTCAAGAAAAATTCTTTCATTTACTGCTTTCCTGTCATTTGGTAAAAACCTTGAACTGTCTGCTTGAGAAGTAATTGCTTTGTGGGCAGTGATGTTCTGGAGGCTTTATCTGGGAGTAGATTTTCCTTGTAGTTCTGAAGAAACGATAGGAGTTAAGAGCCAAATATAGAATATTTTGTCTCACCTTTTAGCAATCACTTACAATAAGAGTCGATGCCGGTCACGTGGTGGTGGTGCAAGTTTTTAATCCCAGCACGTGGGAGGCAGAGGCAGGCGGGTCTCTGTGAGTTTGAGGCCAGCCTGGCCTACAGACTGAGTTCCAGGACAGCTAGGGCTGTTATGCAGAGAAACCCCGTTTCCAGGGGGTGGGGAAGAGTCGATGCCAGGGTGGTCTTGCTACATGCTAAAGACTGCATAGTCAGTAAAAGAGCGGATAACCTAGTTGATACTTAGATTTAAACCTCAAGGGAAACATAGATCATTTTCTCCAAGTTTGGATTTAAATTGCCCCTTGATCTCTCCTAGCCCTTTTCCTCCCCTCCTTAGTTATTCCAGACCATAGACAGGTGTATAGAAGTGACCATTCGAGAGGATAAGGGACCTTTTCCGTCCATCCCTTTTCTCTTGCCTTCTTCCTGTGCTCAAGACATTCGAGACTACGTGAAGCGGGGATGCTCCAACGTGTAGTTGGGTAGTTTGCTCGCTGATGAGTGAGTTCCCTCAGGTTGCCCGTGGAGAGTGGCTTCAATCTGAAGCCCAGCGTCGTTTCTCAGGCACAGAAGAAGGAGCTCTGGTCCTTTTCTTTCTTGTGAAGACGTCAGGGTCTTGTCCGCGGTGACCCACACCAGCCCTTCAGCTGTTGCTACGCTAGAGCAGTTTCCCGTCTACTCTTCTTTGCCCAGCCCCTCCCTTCTTTGTGCTCCCAGAAACAGAGGGTAGATGCCTTCTGTCAGTAATAGTCTGTCCTTATGGGGAAAGGTAGATGTGAAGTCTCTCCACAGCAAGCCAGAGAGTTCTGAACCTCAGGAAGTTCTTGAGCTTGCTTTGGAGTTGGTTTATTTCCCAAACTTGTCTGGGAGCCTGTTGGGTTTTCCTTCCCTACTCAGCCCTCAGCGATGCCTCATCCAAAGCCCCTGGGCATCGGTACTAATGTGTTTAACTTCATGGTTCTATAGAAAATAAAGGACTCCACTTTTGAAGACTGGAAGAATATTCGAGGCCCGAGGCCCTGGGAAGATCCTGAACTCCTCCAAGGACAAAACCCAGAAACTCTTAAGCCTAAGGCAGCCTGACTGTGCTCAGCTTTTCAATAAAATGTCCTCACCTGGCCCTGTACTCCACTAGGAAGAAGATCCCAGACCTGTACAGACTTGGATGTGAATAATGTAATGGCAGAATGTTTCGATTAAAAAGTCAAATGTGAGTCTTTATGCTTCCCGGTCAGTCTGATTGCAGACGAAAGGAGCAGTGTTGAACACACGCACACACGCGCACACACACACACACACACACACACACACACACACGCACCCCCTAGTAAAAATGTGACCACCATACGAGCCATAACTCCTGCCACCATAACGAGCCCTCGCTACCAACCACTAGTACATTTTGCTACATCATTTTGGATTCTGATGAAAATCAAAGACTGGGATCCAAATTTTCCCAATAAAATTGTGACTTTATGTTAAACTGATAACTGGTCATAATCTAGTAATGATCTGTCTTTTATTCCTAACACGTCATAAAGCAGCCTCTGAAACCATTGAGCCGATTAAGGAAATTGCATCATTTACCGAATCCATGTGCAAGTGCAGTGCATGCCGGTAGGAATATATGCCACGTTCGTGGAGGTTATCAGATGCCTGCGGCTTGGGCTGGAAGTCGGTTCTATTTTGCCTGTGAGATATGCTGTGGTCCGATTCCTCAGCGAAGTGAAGGCAGGGTTTGTTCTTAAACCAACAGCTCATTTTCCCCTTTCACCTCTGCTTAGGCAGGCCTAGCCCTCCACCCCGTGTGGTTTTAATGCTGAACTCTAAATACCTCAAGTTTCAGCTGCGATAGCCCCACTATCACTGCTCCTCAAAATAATAAAACATCCTACTTTTCCCTCTACCAGGCTTCTAGTTTGTTTCAACAGATTAGTTTTAGTAATCTTAGAATGATATTTAATGGATAATGACAAACTGATTTCAAAGTTACTGTCTTAGTTACTTTTCTTTTTTTAATAATTTATTTTATAAAAGAAAACAAACTATCTTTTTTACCAATCCCAGTTTCCACTCCTTCCCTTCCTCCCATGGAGAAACATGCCTTACTGGCTTGCTCCCATCGCTGACCCAGCTTCATTTCTTATAAACCCCAGGGTCGCTCTGCCGTCAAGCACAGTGGGCTGGGTTCTCCCACATCAATCGTCACTCAAGAAAATGACTTGCAGACTTGTCTCCAGGCCAATTATTACAGAGGCATTTTCTCAACTCTGACTCCTTATTCCCAGATGACCCTATCTTGTGTAGAGTTGACATGAAAACTGACCATAATATCCGCCCCTTGTCAACTTGCAACACGAATACAGCACTTACTAAGCCATAGCCTGTCTTGCTCTTCCATGGTGTCATGCTGATATTAATATGACAATGTAAAGACCCCAGCCTTTAAAAATTTCAGTCTTTAAAGTTCAGTCTTTAAAATATCGACTCTTTCAAAGTTCAAAGCCTCTTTATAATCCACAGTGTCTCTAGCCATGGGCTCCTGGAAGATAAAACAAGAACAAAACTAAAGATAACAGCTAAATCCTTTCTTCCTCCGAGAGGGAAGAGCCAGGGCATGCGCAGTCACAATCAAATAAAATCATCCCAAAATTCACCAGTGTAAAGAGTTTGATGCTTGGCGTCTGGGATCCATTCACAACCATCCAGACAATAAAGGTCACCTGCCACAATCCCCCCCAAACTGTGTGCTACTGGTCTCTTGTGCCAATGCATTCAAGGCCACTTCCCACTTTCCCTTCTATCAGGTTCAGTGTAACTGGTTTCACACCGAGTTCCTCGATTCACTTGGACTTGAGTTTTGTGCATCTATTTACAATCTTTTACATGGTGATATCCAGTTATGGCAACACCATTTGTTGAAGATGCTTTTCCTTTTCCATGGTACCATTTTTGCTTCTTTGTCAAAAATCAGGTGTTCATAGGTATGTGGATTAATGTCAGGGCCTTCTATTTGGTTCCAGATGTCTGTTTTTATGCCAATACCAAGCTGTTTTTATTATTATAGCTCTATAGTAGAGTTTGAAGTCAGGATGATCCCACCAAATGTTCCTTTATTGTGCAGGGTTGTTTTAGATATTCTGAGTTTTTTGTTTTTCCATATGAAATTGAGTATTGTTCTTTCAAGGTCTGTGAAAAATTGTGTACAACATGATTTCTAAGACATACATGTGTGTGTCGGGGGCGGGGGCTGGAGAGATGGCTCAACGGTTAAGAGCGTTGGCTGCTCTTCCAGAGGTCTGGAATTCAATTCCCAGCAACCACATGGTGGCTCACAGCCATCTGTAATGAGATCAGGCACCCTCTTCTGACATGCAGGCAAACATGCAGACAGAACGCTCTATACCAAATAAATACATTTTTTTAAAAAATATATACATGTGTGGAAAGTCTTTTCCTTGTTTTCTCCAAAATGCTTAATACCTTTTGCCTTCAAGAGCACATGGGGCTATTTCAATTTATGTCGAAGCCTTGGGTTGCGTTCTACATTGTCTTTTGAGCTCTCTATCCTAAAATTAGGGTTTTAACACAAAGTAGCAACATAAAACTTACCAGGATTTCATAGGGAAGAGACCAGGAAAGTTTATACAGCTCTACACTGTTTACTCAAGAAAAGCTCTTAACAAAATTTCCTCATAAAACCCTTTCTGTGTTGGACTACTCCTGGTACCCTGTTCTTGTCTCATCTTAGTCGGACCCCTGATGGATTCTATCTTTTCTGTTTCTGGATCTTCATTTGCTCATATACAGCACCCCTGCTCTTCCCTTATACCAGAGTTCACTAATGCATAGAGACATTAGCCCTTTTCTCCTATAAACTAACACACCCAAAGCCCAGATCTTCTGAAAATAAGCTTGCTCCTACTCTATACCGTAGCAAGGAAGATGCTATTCTACAGGTTGAATGAAAACAGGAATTCGTATCTTGGCGAAATTGAACTACTTACCTCCTCAGCCTCCTCTTGTAAAATCAGGGATAGTAATGCCAGTACCAGTGTCATAAGTTTGAAATGCGTTCAGTTGTATAATGCTCTTTGAACAATGGCCAACACAGAGAAAATAGCCGATAGTCATTAGCTGTTATTAATACAAAACAGGGAAAGCTTATTAGTAACAACAGTTATTATTAAAATACTTGGTCAGGTAGTATTTTACTAACACTGTTTAGGAGACTGTTCCATTAGTAGCAGTTGCACGTGGAATACAGTGAGACTAGTGGACTTCAGCCGGACTCTCAGGTCTGCCATTTATAAACTGTGGCCTTACACAGATTACATAACCCTTTTTTTTTTTTTTTTTTTTTGGTTTTTCGAGACAGGGTTTCTCTGTGGTTTTGGAGCCTGTCCTGGAACTAGCTCTTGTAGACCAGGCTGGTCTCGAACTCACAGAGATCCTCCTGACTCTGCCTCCCAAGTGCTGGGATTAAAGGCATGCACCACCACCGCCCGGCCTACATAACCCTTTTGAATCTGGGTGACTGCATTTATGGGCTGGAATTTTGTATTGGTGTCTGCTAGTTAACCTAGGCGGGAGATGCACGAGACCTAGTGAAGAGGCCAGAGGTAAGGAATAAGTAACAAAGAAGTGGCTGTTATTATGGGTTAGTGCAAGAAAGATGCTCTGTTCACAGGTGCTTAATAGGCATCACTGCAAGTAATACAGCATTTTCTCTTCTAACTCGTTGAGTTTGCTTTCTGACTTTTGGATCTTAAACAATGTTTATGATGTTGGAAGTTCAATTAGAATGTAGGAAGTGAGTGGGCAGCGTGTTTTGGAAACTGAGTGGATGATGGTCATGTGCTGGCCATCAGACTGTGAGCAGGGAAGCACTGGATTTTGAAAGGACACCGTCAGTCAGTCTGCAGCTCTTCCAATGGAAATCACGATCTGGCAAGTGTTGAAGAGTTATCACTCTTACCACCAGAGGGAGCTCTAAGACCATACAACACTACTGACTTCCGATGGTCCATGTTTTATTATGGTACAGAGGGATAAGTAGCCAGCCTGGTGGGGAGGCACGGCAGCAGGAGCAGGGAGCTGAAGCATGAAGAAATGAGAGAAAACTAGAAATGCTGTGTGGTCTGTAATCTCGGAGCCCACTCACTTTTCTCCTTCATCTTTCTTGTCATATTTTTAAAATCTAGATTCTGCTTATAAATAAAGACACGGTATTTGTCATTTTCATTGATATTCTTTGGGGCTGGGGACGCGTATATGTCTCAGTAAAGGACTTGCCACATAAGTATGAGGACCTGAATTCAGATCCCCAGCCTCCATATAAAAACTGGCGCATGTCTGTAACTGAGTGTGGAGTAAGGCTTAGGTGTTCAGATCCCTGGATCTCACTGACCAGCCAGTGCAACCAAACCAGTGAGTTCCATGCTCACAGTGAGAGACCCTGCCTCAAAAACTAAGGTGGAGAATGACTGAAGAAGACACCAGATGTTGACTTCTGACTTCCATGGATATGCACACATATGTACACATGCATGTTCATACACATATACACAAATATGAACACATATACATCACACACTAAATAAATAAATAAATTTTTACTGGCAAAGATTAAAACATTTGGTAACATGCAGGCTTGATGAAAAGGGGTAAAATATGGATCTGGGCAGATGGCTCAGTGGTTGAGAGTATATACCACTCTTGCAAAGGACCCAGGTTTGTTTTATAGCATACACATTGGGCAGTTCACAACTCCCTGTAACTCCAGCTCCTGGGCCTCTGACACCCTCTTCTGGCTTTCAGAGAGATGGCCATCATGTGCACAAACCCACATTCTCTCTCACACACAGATACACATAATTAAAAATAACCCTTAAAAAGGAAATGTGAAAAAAATACATACACGCGCAGTTGATCCTGATTTGATACAAGTTTGATGAAACATCAAAATTAAAAATTCTTTTTGGTCAAATATTTCCCCCTGTAAGTAAATAATCAGATGTTCTTTACAGTTTTGTTTGTATAAAGAAAAAAGTGGATCACCCAAATGTCTATAAAAATAGATCTAATTCATATAAGTTATATCTATAAGAACAATATATAACCTTTAAAATGTGTGGACAGAGGACTTGTAGTCCTTGGCAAAATGACAGATTCCAATCTCTATCAGCATTGACTCTTGAAAGAACCTAATCATAACACAAGCAAAAATGGGAAGATTCTGGAAGGAGTTAAGAAAATTGAAGATGGCCTGCAGCTTCATAAAAGTAAACTAAGGACTGCAATGAAGCTCTCCCCTGGCCTCTGGAGGGTAGATGTTTTATTCTCTTCGTATTGTGTGTAGAGCTTTTGGTCAAACGTATTAAAAACAAACAGAAACCCCTCCTGGGCTGGCAAGATGGCTCAGCAGGCAAAGGCACCTGCCACCGGTGCTGCTGATGAGTTTGATTTCTGAGCCCTGCATAGAGGCTTCATGATGGGAAGGAGGAACCAACCCCTGTGGGTTGTCTTCTGGTCTCCACATGTGTGCCATAAAACATATGCACATGCGTGCTCGCAAACACACAGACACACACAAATGTAATTTTTAAATGCCTTGAAAAGAAGCATGATCGATCAGCAGCATGGGTAAATCATCCCAGGTTTTCCCATACGTGTATTTACTTCTTAGTTTTAGGAGTGTTGTGCTCATGGACAAGATGGCTGAGAACCAGGTGGCAGCTAAGCAGGGGTTTCTAAATTCTACCCAGGCGTTCTAAAGAAACATTCTTATTGTTAACCTGCATCTGTGCAGGTAGGAGGGAAAGAGAATTTTCACTAACAGCTCTCTACTATGGATCCTTTGAAAGTAATAGAATTAAGTTTGGTGAATAACAACAGGGAAAGGTCATAGGATTTGCAGGGAGAAGGGCGTGTGGAGGGTCCTGGTCTTCTTAGGTAGGGGATGCTAAGTCCAGGAAAGAAGGTGGTCACAGATTTGGTCCAGGATGGACTTACTTAGTTATATCTTCTGCCCCCCAGAAATGCAGTGATTCATTGGCAATGACTGAATCAAGAATAGGTGTAATTCCACTAAGCTCCTCTAGGAGTCAGTCTTCTCCAAACACCATCACACCCAACCTGCTCTCCCTCCCTGATTTCCTTCAGCATCCTCTCTCCATCCCTTTCCCCAATAGTTCTTTTGAGCAGCAGTCACCACTTTCCCTGAGAACACCTGGAGCATGAGTGGCATCTAACTTTGGTAACACTGGTGTTACAAGTTGCAGGGTTTGGCCTTACAAAGTGATCAGTTGGGCCAGCCGTGGAATTTGGCTTGCTCTTGGCTTCATAGTCGCCATGGCTGATTCCCTGTGAGCAACTTAAGCCACCCTGGATCTGTTTGATACTTGAGATCAAGAACCCAAACCGGTGTAAAGGTCGGTAAAACACTCGCTGTGTGTTGAGACCCACGGCTACAAAATGAGAGCTGCACAGTCTGTCCTTCCCAGCGAGGATTCATGGTGGAGTTGAAAGGATCTGGCAACTTGAGAGGTGACTCCAGTGTCTCCACTGTCAATAGGAATAGATGGGGTCATTTCAATAAACCTCTGGAGAAAACTAGAGAACCTAGGTCAAATTTGTATTAAAAACTTGCATGGAGGCATAAGCCTGTAACAAGACAGGGCTATTATCTAGCTGGGAACAGAGTAAAAAAAGTTACCCTGGAGGTAACTGTGGAATTTGGCGTTAGTTTTCCGGCTCTGAAAGCTGTGTATAAGATGCTGTGTAGGGGAGCAGCACTAACAGCATCATTATACAGGGGTGGGAAGACCAAAATCCTGGGCCATCAAAAGGGCGACTTCAGAAGCCGCCTTGGCTTTTCATTGGAAGGCCAGAGAACTGCACACCCATTCAAATACACGTTTGTGCCACATGATGACATTACAGCCAGTGATGTGCTACAAATATGATGGCCATCCCACACGGCTAAAAAAAAAAATCCTTCCATCTGATGAAACATGGTCAT